AAATTGGCATCGAAATTACCGATTAATGAAATTGATATGAAAGCAAACCTTATCACAGTTTACGGTTTTGATTCTCTTGGCGCTGTTCAATTAACGGCTTGTCTCAAAGATGAATTTGGCATAGAACTCGCGCCTGCTCTTATTGTGGATTATTATACAATCGCTGATTTGGCGGTTCATATTTATAACCAGTTAAATGAAAAGGTTGTATGTGAGAATACTAATGAAGTAATGCCTCTCGAACAAATTCAAAGTAAAATTGCGAGTCAAGTTCATGTTGTATCTAAAGTTGCGGCAAAGATTCCATTAGATCAACTTAATTTCAATGCTAATCTCATTACCGATTATGGATTTGATTCGCTTGCTGCTGTGCAGTTGACTGCTTCAATGAGTCAAATATTTGGTATTGAAATAGCTCCAACATTATTATATGACGTTCATACAATTGGAGATTTGGCAAATCATGTTTATAAACAACTTTCAGAAAATAAATCGTCCGGGAAAATATCGCAATCACAAGAACATTTAAACAAACCTCCAAAGGAGGAAATACGTTTAATACCATTGGCCCCACGTACCATAGTCAATAAACATAATCCAACACTTTACTGCGTTCACCCACTTCTAGGAAATGTTGCTAGTTATGTTCATTTATCTCGTAACCTTGGAATTACTCGTCCTGTATATGGTATTCAAGCACCTAACGATGTTGAAAGTGACATTCCATCAATGGCCGAGAGATACGTTAAGGCAATTCAAGATGCACAATCTTCAGGACCTTATTTCCTATGTGGATATTCTTATGGTGGTCTTATCGCATGGGAAATGGCCAGAATAATACAAAAATTCGGATCTAAAGTCGGAGGGCTATATCTTATTGATGCACCATCACCCCTAATGAATCGTGTTCGACCACCGCTTAGTGCATATAATGAACCACATAAAATCTGGGAATCAGATATTGAACAACTTCTCACTGACGTTGACAGTCAATGGATGCACCGTCAAGGATCAAGCGATCCAATAGAGATCGAAGCTTTCAAAAGGAAAGTTGGCATACTAATAGCATCAATGTATAGTCATACAGCAGATATTACTACCGTAGACTCTATCCAATCATTCCCAATTCATTATTGGAGGGCGAAAGAATTTGCAGGAAAAACAAGTAATTTATTACTTGATCATCCGTTATTTAATGAACCGAATTTTGGATGGGAACGTTATCAAGGTAACATTACATTTCACAGGCCAATTC